TATTTTTATTTAATTACAATAGCAAAGTTTTATCATTGAATTGTTTTAGCCTTAAGTTAATTATTAACGGTTTTCCTTTATATTGAAGTAATCCAAAACTAACAAATGTTTGTTACATATTTTATCGTTTCGTAATATTTTAATATATGTACAAAAGAAATGAAGAAAGAAGAAATTCAAAATATGACCAACATCTGAACATACGTTTGTCGTGTACATTACTACAAATAACATTGTTCAATCTGATACAGATAAAGATACATATATACTTTATATAAATAAATCTATGTATTTGTATTTCTATGATACATAAATATTGTATATTCTTTGGACAAAGGTGAAGTAAATATTATTATTGAAAAATTGTTTGAAACTTCTATTGTTTCGTGTGTCTACTTGATGGACATTTGAAAAAAGATGAAAGTTTGAAAGTATCTGTCTATGAGATACTAAAGAACTTAATACAGCATGACGTACTATCAGTCGAGAATTAAATTTAGAAACATATATCTATAGGTACATATGTAATGCAGTTGCGACGTAAAGAGTGCGATCGATATCCGCGTTGCATTCTACATTGTTGCATTCCGCTCAAAGGTTTTAGCTACGGTTTGTAACGAATAAAACATCCGATAACGTTGTTGGTGTACTATGCCGGTAAAATATTAATCTCTGCATTAGGCATGAAAAGTTGCATCGTAGATATCAGTTAAAATAATAGTGGACGTGATTCTATAATCTCCAATATGCGAATGCGATATCAATGTACATACGATATTCAATAAGTTCAATCCCGAGAAATTTTTTAATAAATTTATTTTTAATTGTTTCTCGTAGGAAAAATTTTTAGGGAAAATCATTTTTGCATATATACGCATAGTGACTAACATATTTTTTATACGTAGCATCTAGATATATTATAATTAAATTTTAGAAAAATAAGATTTAAATAAAATTGAATTTAAATAAAAGCTAGCTATTATTGACAAAAATATTGGGCACAAAGCTATGTTTCGTTTACTTATTTTCTTTATCTTTGAAATTATAAAAACTCAAAAATTTATTCTTCGCAAAATGTTTTTATCTTCAACTAAAAAACTGTACTGTCAGGAAGCTTTTAGTATTAATATCTCAGTAAGAAAAAAAAAACAAGTCGAAGGATCTGTTATAAAAAATATCATTAATCTTTTGAGGGATACTGACACATATGTGTATGTTTAGTTTTACCTAACGTTTGACTATTTAGCAAAGTACAGTATTATTGGGAGCAAATATTCCTTAGAGAATAGTAAAAATAACAAAAAATTAAATAGCAGATATTCTAGTTTTATATTCGTTATATTTTAATTAAATACATTTAAAACATCAAATAAAATAATTTTTTTCTGATCTTCGAAAATTCGTCTCTCAAGAGGTTAATTAAGTATTTTGTGTTCTCCTCTTGTAAATACTCTTGTAGATACTGATGTCCAATTTGGAATAATGAAAGCTTTCTCGTATTTGCGAGATGAGTATATTCATCAAGAGAAAGAAAAATGTAGATAAATATGCCCACCACTTAAGTATGTTAGCTGTGAAAAGTCATTGACACAAACGCAAACTTTTTGCCAGGTGTAACCTTGAAAAGACGTCTGCGAAGCAAGGCAATACAAAGACGAGGCAATACAATTGTTATCTGTATAATATCATCTTTTGACGGTCCTAGAAACACAAAGACGAAACAGATAAAGTGAATTTTCGAAGAAAAGAGGAACTATACTAACAATAAGAATTAACAAACAACACAAAGAGAAATAAAATTGTGCTGTTTGTCTGTAAAATATTCAATTTATTAGAACAAATTTTAAAATTTATAAAAGTTTATCGAGGTGATATCTCATATCTCACTTTGATCATTATGTTTAAAAATAAATTACTATGAACTTACTTGTACAAATTATTACTAGTATACTTGTTATCGCAGATAACCAAATAGCTGATAACTGATGTGAAATGCCAGGATTCCGGCAACAATATTCGATATCTTTAATTATATCGACATCGCGTGTACTATTTGGTAAAAATAAATAATAATGTAATAACAATAATAACTTAATAATATCAAATAATAATAAAAAGATTCATAGGACTCTTAAATATTACAAAATTTCAAATAATGTTGTAAAGGACATATAAGAGGCAGATAAAACGTTTAAATTATATATATGTCACAAAAATAAAATAAAATAAAATTTAATTGAACGTTAGTAAGAATCATTACATGTTTTGGCTTTATATCAAGCCATCTTCAGATGTTCCAACGCAGTTAACATTTTTGTAAGATAACCATTTATATTCGGTAAAATTACAAAAATATCCATGATCAACCTTGAATGATAGATGAGTGTCTTCCAAGATACAAAATTTCTCTCTCAAACGATTTATTGACCGTATGTTTGAAATTTCTAGATATTATACGCATAACAAAATAGTTATTAATTTCTTATTTATGAGAAAGACCGTTTAAAGAAATAATCTCTTTTCCACACTCACCGTGGAACACATTGTGTTAGTCGATACTTGTCAAAAAATATAAAAAAATTCGCAGATAACTTTTTGTCAATTATACACAAGTCTCCGATAAATTATAAGACAATATATCAATCAAAAAGGAATGAAATAGTATTATCCCCAGTCCAACGAGTTGAAAAAGAATTGTTAAAAAATTTTTTCCTTTTTCCTTGTTATAAAGGACTATTCTGAATCAACTTATCTCCACGACTTCTTGTCACATACTAATTTTTATTCTCTGCATTCTATGTTCAGTTATCACAGAACGGGTAGACGTGTTCCAATTAATATGATTATGATGTTCTGCAATTCTCGTGTTTAGTTTAGTTGTCTACCCGTTTGTCCAATATACTCAACATCGTAATCATATTAATTGGAACACGTCTACCCGTTCTGTGATAACTGAACATAGAATGCAGATGCAGCACGATTTTGATTGGGATAGCGTTAAAGTTTTAGACGAGGAACCATGTTATAATAAACTTAAATAAACGATTGATATCGGAAATGTTAAATATTAAAAAACAGGACAATAGTCTTAATTTTCAAACCGATACTGAAGGTCTTAATAAAACTTACATATCTATTATAAACAAAGTTTGACACTGGTGATATTTGTGTCATATCAATCTATCAGAGAATAAAAATTAGTATGTGATGAGAAGTCGTGGAGATAAGTTGATTCAGAATAATCCTTTATAACAAGGAAAAAGGAAAACATTTTTTAACAATTCTTTTTCATCTCGTTGGACTGGGGATAATACTATTTCATTCCTTTTTGGTTGATATATTGTCTTATAATTTATCATTGTGTATAATTGACAAAAAGTTATCTGCGAATTTTTTTATATTTTTTGACAAGTATCGACTAACACAATGTGTTCCACGGTGAGTGTGGAAAAGAGATTATTTCTTTAAACGGTCTTTCTCATAAATAAGAAATTAATAACTATTTTGTTATGCGTATAATATCTAGAAATTTCAAACATACGGTCAATAAATCGTTTGAGAGAGAAATTTTGTATCTTGGAAGACATTCATCTATCATTTAAGGTTGATCATGGATATTTTTGTAATTTTACCGAATATAAATGGATATCTTGCGGAAACGTTAACTGCGTTCGAACATCTGAAGATGGCTTGATATAAAGCCGAAACATATAATGATTCTTACTAACGTTCAATTAAATTTTATTTTATTTTATTTTTGTGACATATGTATAATTTAAACGTTTTATTTGACTCTTATATGTCCTTTACAACATTATTTGAAAATTTAATGGTATCAATTAAATACATTTTTTTGCAGCTGTATTTAACAACGCATTGAATATTAGTAGTGATGGATTTTGAGACTTATAAATGCAATTCAATTTGGCATTTTGAGATTTATATGTATAGATAGTCTAATTCTCTAAATATTCAGATCTTAGTCTGCAGATAATCGAAAATCCATTACTAAATATTGGCTTAAATAAGATCATTCGGTGATTGATATCGCTGGCGTGCAATATATATGTTATTTCTTATCGTTCATCGGATTGCATAAAGATAAATTTTCGATTTCTCTTTTTATGGATGGTTTTCAATGCAACTTACATCAATCTCTCGCTCTCTTGAGTCAATTATTTTCTTATTTGTGACAAGAAAACAACAGCAAAAATATGGAAATTTCTTTTGCTATGTTACACTGCACGATATAAAAGTTATTCTGGAAAAAAAAAACAAAAAATTGAGAAAATAAATAAAAAGAGAAATAAATCCAAAATTCATCAGAAAGGAAAAGAAAAGATTTTTTACTGTAAGTGATATAATGTGTATTAATTTCTAATAGAAGAGAAATTCTCAAGAAATAATATAACATAATATATTATAAATAATATAACATAATATATTATTTAGAACTGTTTATTATAAATTGAATAATCATAATTTGTAAACGTCTATGGTAATATACCTTGATATTTTTCTATTTATAGTGAATGGTTACATTAACAATCAAACATTATTTCATAAATCTTTTTTGTTTGATAAAACGTGTTAATAATATAATTTTTTACATTGAAATAAATACAATATGTTGTAGAGATAATGTATCTATGTTGTTATAAATATTTACAGTGAGTAATTCTATTTCTAAATATTCAAAGAACGTGTACTGAGAAACAAAGCATATGTGAAAATGGAATTAATTTCGTAATTAATTTTGCCTATTTCGATTGTTTGAATTGTGAGTTCCAATTACTTGTTTGAGGACATATGTATGTATTCCTTATGCATAATACATTGGAATTTTATTATCGGTTAATTTAAATCTTTTACCTTCGATATCTAGACTTTATTTCGAATATTAACGTAATGTATTGTGATAAATGTGTATTATAATAACGTACACAATAATTTTTTGCGTCAGGCATTATCAGAAATATATAATATACATAAAATTTCAGCATGCTATGCATCCAAGAGGAGCTGGCTCAGCTGAGTGAAATCGCGGGAAGCCCTGAACGGCTAATCACCGAACTGCGTGAGGTTCAATTGCCCAATAGTAATCACCTCAATTTCGCGAGTAACTCCAGCGACGCCGCGACAAAATGTGCTCCCGAAACGGAAAGCATCGATTCTCAACGATCGAGTTGGGTCGAAGGCATCCTGGGATGCATGCGTCCCGTTTGGACCATGCTATCGAAGGCTGCTATTAATGAAAAAATCAAGGGTCTTTCAAGTAAGTTATGTAAGTTTCAATGTTGCTTTTTACCTATTATTTTTTCTCCTTTTTTTAAATTAGTTGCAGTGGGCCGAAAATCTTAAAATATTTTGTATAAAACTTTGTATTTTTATGTGCAGTAGAAATTAATGGCTAAATATAATCTTTATAATCATTATTCTTAATGAGTTTTATGATCATTTTAGAAAGCATTCGAAGCAGCAATAGATTAAATCTATAATCTGCAAGATTAGTTTTAAATTTAATTTTGTATTTAAAATAAAATTTATAAATTATGATTTTTTGCTTTAAACGTTTATAATAATTGTAATTTTGAAAAGATTTTCGTAAATTACATTTAGAAAAATTTGTACGAACTGCTTTTTTTAGCAGACGATTGGGAGATAGCTTTCGAAACAATCAGCGAGCTGCAATGGCTCGGATCTGGGGCTCAAGGTGCAGTATTTAGTGGTAAATTAAATAAGGAAATAGTAGCTGTTAAAAAAGTAAAGGAACCGAAAGAGACTGACATACGCCATTTGCGGAAACTCAATCACCCGAATATTGTACACTTCAAGTAAGGTCCACTTTCTTTTATAATATTAAGGTATCAGTCGAATTATAAAACGCGTTTACTATTAAATGCTCACCTGATGTTTACAGAGGAGTGTGTACAAAACCTCCTTGCTATTGCATAATAATGGAGTTTTGTCCATTTGGACCATTATATGACCTTCTAAGAGCTGGAGAACCGGTTCCTCCTGCTAGATTGGTGTCATGGTCAAAACAAATTGCTGCAGGGATGGCGTACCTTCATGCTCATAAAATTATACACAGAGATCTCAAAAGTCCAAAGTAAGTAAACAATAAAATGAATATAATTGAAATTTTTTGAAAAAATATGGTTATTAACATTTTCACTAAGAAAAGAAAAAATTGATTCCAAAATTAGAGCTACCCAGTAAATCAGAATGGATTAAAATAAAATGAAATTTTATTTATCCGAATGTATATTTTAAATAAGAAAATTTTTCTTTTGGATTTAATTGAATCTAATTGGATTCAACTGGATTCAATTGGATTGAAAAACTGCATTTCCTATTCAAAATTTTAAATTGAGAAGTATTCACGAAGCATAGAAAAGGCTGATATTATTTTTAGATTAAATAGCATAGAAATATGCTTTATGCAATTCCTAGAAATTAATAAAAATGCATTCCGATTAAAAAAGATTTATTTTAACATTCGCGCTCTCGAATGCGTAGATATTTCAATCTATTCTTGTTTATTAGCTAATTCATGAAAGGGACATAGTTTGATATCTATATATGAGACTAAAATTAGAGATAAAGATTGATATAAATTGAATTCACGACAATCTTTTGTAGATAAAGTATATCCAAAATCCACAACAATTGTAGAATAACGAGAAAATTATCGTATTTATAGTGTTCTAATAGGACAAGGGGAAATAGTGAAGATCAGTGATTTCGGTACGAGTAGACAGTGGAATGAGATTAGCACAAAAATGACTTTTGCTGGTACGGTGGCGTGGATGGCGCCGGAGGTAATCAGGAATGAGCCATGCTCAGAAAAAGTAGACATATGGTCGTACGGCGTCGTACTATGGGAATTACTGAGCGGCGAAATACCTTACAAAGACGTGGATTCCTCCGCTGTTATGTGGGGAGTAGGCAGCAATTCTCTTCATTTACCAATTCCCACCAGTTGTCCGGAGGGATATGGGTTACTGGTTAAACAGTGTTGGTCGGCCAAACCACGTAACAGGCCTTCCTTTAAACTTATTGAGATGCACCTCGCTATCGCAGCTGTTGATGTACTTTCTACGGAGCCCGAAGATTATTTTAAGGCACAGGTAGGGCTCATTTTTCTCAATGCATTTCAGAAATTTTAGCATAAAAAAATTATATGATAATATAATAAAATTCAATATCTATGTAAAGCGTAGGGAAGACCGGGTCTCGTTGGCATAAGAGGCAAATTGGCATTGCGTTCCGTTTATGTATTTATGATAAAGGAAACAATAGAAAAGTTACTGCAAAATAATTCTTTTATAGGAGGTACTTCTCCCTAAGTTTCATTTAAATCAAACAAGTATTACAATAGAAAAAGAAAAAAAATTTGATTCAAGAGTAGACAAGTAAATTTTTGAGCATTTCATAATTCCGTATTAATATCCTTCAACTTGCGAAAGCAATCTAAGCGATGATTAGTTAAAAGAAAAGTGTTTGTTAGTATACAATACGATATTTTGAGCAACAATTGTAATTTGTTATAATAAAATGATTAAAATCGGACGTGTGCAGGGTGCGTTGGCTCATATCATAAGAAAAGGTTATGTTAACTCGTATCACATGTGTAAACATAAATTTAATTAACTAAAGTAATAAAATAAATTTAATTACAATTTTACTGTAACAAAACGCTTTATATTTAATATTTCTATATATTAAAATGAGGTAGAATTAAAATAATTTTCACTTATTTTTCTGTAACAACATTTTGCTATTTGATCATTATAAAATAACTTTGAAAAGTACAATTTTTACTAAAAAGTACATATCTACTTTTTAATTTTTATTTCTATTACTTTTCTATTATATTTTTGTTAGTTTAATATAGAGTTTATTATAGAGGCAATTTATATTATGATATGTACCAATTTGAGCATGAGCGTGGCGTAGCGCACGAGACTGCTATGCCAGAGATCTCGGGTTCGATCTCAGGCAGATTCAAAGAATTTTTCACGCGCTCGTAGCTTCTCTTCGATGGTCTGGCAAACCACCAAGAGTATCTATTGCCAAAAAAACCTCTCAAAAACTGCCGTTTCGGAACCGGCAAATTGTAGATTCCATATGCTCGGTGTATGACTTGCGTGCGCACCACGTACATACGTATGAGAGGTATCGGACAACGGCGAAAAACGTTATAAAACCGAAAAAAAAAATATATATATATGTACCAATTTGCCCCACAATATCGGGGCAAGTTAACTATACAATGCAGCATGTCTGTACATATTTCATTTATTGCAAAGAAACTATACAGTGTATAGAACCATTACTGATATGAAAAATGTAGAGAAAGGTTCTCTCTATTGACATATTTTAATCATAATAATTAATTGTTTAAAAAACCTAATGCTAAAATTGTAAAAACTGTGCCAACGACCCGGTCTCCCCTACACGCAAAGGTATTTTTTTATTTTATATTATTTAATTTATAAATATATTATGTATTTTTTAAATGCATTATTGTATTGCATTATTACGTAATATCTTAATTGTATATTATTCATAAACACATTGAAAAATTCTCATTTGTTCCTTTTTTTTATTATGTATGATAAAATTAATAACATTTAAATTTTAGCAACTTTAACGATTAATGAAATAAGTAACGAATTGTTTCCTGTGCCATCGTCAAAAGATAATAGCGGAATTTTCTTATAGCAATCTTGGAAGAAGGAAATACAGGAGCACATGCAACACATGCCACTATTTACTAATACCGATCCACGTTTTGAGGCTGAGCTAATCCGACGAAGAAAGGATGAATTACGACACGCTCAGGATGTCAGGGAACATTATGAGCGCAAACTCGAACGCACTAACAACTTATACTTGGAATTGAACGCTATTCTACTGCAATTAGAATTACGCGAGCGAGATGTGATAAAGTGAGAAAAATATCATTACATTTTAATATACAAATAATTAGAGAGTTGGAGACGTTTTCTATGTATGTAATATTCACGCTGATATATTTTGTACATAATGTATGTATGATAGATGCACCATATTATACTCTTTGAATTTTTTTTAAATATAGACGAAGCAGTATCACTTTGCATAACCGCTTTGCGCTTACGAGACAGATAGCACAAGACTGCAACCAAAGTCGCACATTTGGAAATAAATGTCTGGTTTGTCTCAGGAGAGAACAACAATCAACAGGATACAAGCAGTACAAGAAACGTCTTGTCCGTCCTTTATTGAAGGCCCAGGAGAGACTGTATCGCAGACGGAGTGGCACAGTACAATTCTCTACTTCTTCGACGCCTACTACTCCTCCTTCGCCTACGGATTCACCACAGAGCCCCGTTAAAGCTACCATGTACACACAACTGAATGAATCCAATCAGCCGGAAACTGTTTTAGCATCAAACAATAGCTTCAAACAACGTAAATACAGGCATCGTAGAGTCGGTTCGGGTTGTGGTGTGAGTTCCAGTCCTAGATCGAGTCCTCATCGTGAGAGAAAGGTAAAAATAAAATTAATTAGAATAAATAAATAAATAATTAAAGAGATAATGTTAAAGATAATTTCAATTTTTGCTATTTGTCAAATCTGTTAATCTCTTATACTCTCATAATTAATTATTAATTCCTTAACTATAGAAATCAAAGCTTAAATAATCTAGCTGGATCTTAAATACTTGTATGATTCTTGTGTGAATTTATATACTACGTATGTAGTACCCAGAAACACGCACCGAAATGATTTTTCGGTCTTGAAACGCTAACTCTACTATACTATCGCAGTAATATCACGAGTTAAATTGACTAGCAATATTTAATAAATTTTTGATGTTTATTCGTATCTTCGAAACGATCTTAATAATGTTGAATAATTAAAATCTGTAAATAATTAATTCTTATTGCGAAAAATATTACCTCGGCCGGGAGTCGAACCCGGATCACTTGCATTCCGTGCGAGCGTCCTAAGCCTTTAGACTACCGAGGCTCGC